CGCCAAACGGCAACAGGCCTGGACGGCCTGCAGGACGCTCAGAGAACAGAGCAACACACGAAACAACAGAGTCGAGTCGCTAATCGTAGCAGTAGCACTATGGCGATGCTAGCCGTAGTTGCTGGAGCCGTACGGCCGACACCACTCCTCCTCTAATATTGGAGGCATTACTAGTGCCAACGTCAGCCTCTCTGATCTTCCGTTGATGGACAGAAAAAGAACGATGACGATGACGACGACTGTGAGCAAACAGACGAATTCGCGCACTATTGCAAAAACCTACCGGCGTGAGTCGCAGACAGCTCTTCTTCGCGCATGATCCGGTCCAAACTACGGTAGCTAGGGACGCCTGGCGACGCTGGGCGGTTCCATGTTGTCGTAGAATGGCACAGAACGTCGGTGGTGCCGGCTTATACAAACTGTTGCCTGCAGCCTGGCGAGTTTACTCTACCACTACGAACACCGCGACTGCGATGAGAGCGAAAACGACAACCAACAAAAGTAGCAGCGTCCCTTCAGGTTCTCCTATGGCAGTGTTTTTGCCGCTGTTAGAGTCGACCACAACTTTACAATATCGCTGGGGCTCTTAATCGTAGTTGCTACTGTCCATAGAAGTCAAAACTAAGCGGAGGCAACAGATGCAAGAACAGCATCAGCGGCCACCGAGGGGGTGGGCGCAGCGTCTTTGGAATGGGGCCACGGCTGGGGAATCGGGTCGGAATTATTACTCTCTTCTCCTTTCCACCAACCGATCGACCACCCTAACGCCCTCCCTCGGCAATCAGACTGCCAGTCAGTCCGAGGATCGTGTTGGTCGTCTACGCCCAAGTTGGGAGAACGATGCGAAAAAATCGCGAGCGCCAGACGGCCACGCCGCGCTGCGTCGAGCTGCTTTGCCCTGTGCTACGTCACATCTCGATCTGCGGGGTGGCTAATGACCACTGCCGAGAGACTTCGAACGAATGAACGATTAAATGGTTAGCCTTTGTATATCTGTGCATCTTCCCATTTATTGACTACTCATTCTCTTCTCCTCCCCTCCCCGCCCCGTTTTTAATGTTATGGCCTTCGTATTTGTAGGACATGTTGTCGGGGTCATCCGCGTAGATGATCCTTTGGTAGTACAGTTTTGAATTCGAACACACGGTGGCCATTGTAATACACGAAGTTTTCATATTTCTTTTACTTTTACAGTGATGAATAATAACTGAACTTCATTGTTTTTTTATCTTTGTATGTATGTGTGCTTGACTGTTTGTGGTTGTCCATACTACCTGCGTCTATTGTAATGACAAACATTACCATAGCTCCAGCGAATTTTTTTGGCCGGGCGGTAAAATCGATTTTCAACGGGATCGCTAAAGTTTATTGTCCGATGAAATAATGGCGTCATCGATGTTATGGTTATTATTTTACTGTTGGCACACGTACAGCTTTGTCGGTAGGTTTCCTTCAGTAGTTTCCGGTTATCCGAAGAGATGGTCGTAAGGAACAACCAATTTTACGTTTCTTGAGCGCTGCTGCCTGAAAAAGGAGCGTTCCGAAAAACACTTGCTAACCTTCTATGCTAAAGCGAGTATATAGCTACTTGACAAAGGAAACGAAGGGGTCATGAAGGTATTAATTATAGCAATGTGTCCTATAGACGCCCGGCAAATGAGGAACACTCTTATGATAATGATTTCAGTTCGGTATCTGCAAGCAATTGCAAGGGGCGTTCTTACTATCAACTTTTATCATACGAAACATTTAATTGTCCATCTTTCGTTGTCTAAGCCGAAATTTAGAACAATCCAATCTGTTTTGATGCTAAGAGTCAAGCTCACGAGCGCGATAACGATTTCAGAGAAAACGCTGGTAAAATTCTCTGTGAAGTAGGCTACAGCATTGGTAAAGACAGCCAATATGGAATACCAATTGGTAGCTCGGGGAAAGCTTCTTGACTATCGATGTAGTAACCAGTTTATCCCAATAGTTACAGAGGTTAGATATCCATCTGCTTAGTACCTGATTGTCTATCTGCCCGTTAATATATGTATATGTTGGTATGTATAGAAAGCTGCACACGATAGCTTTATCAAACTACTAAATAAATGACTGCGAGTATAGCTAGCGAATCCGTGCAGTAAGCGTATTTTCGCACATAAGCTATGATAAATTAAATACGTAATTCAGTAAACTAAGTCGACGCTATATGGCATATCCAAAGTTGCATCGTTACCCCCAGTAACTATGGGTCCCCAGCGCAGGGGTATCACGTGATTACGCGGTGTTATAATGGCAGGGGCATTTCAGCGGGGTCTGATTTACTACTATAACAACATAGCGGGTGAATCAGAGTTCTGAGAGCGTATTTTTATGTCACATATATGTTAGAGGTAAAACGTCATTTCTAGTTAAAGAACAAGTTTAATAGGTCTGTTCAACTCGGGTTCTTCTCCGAATGATCAGTATTCCATTGACTAAGGACTCTGCTAAGTTTTTAGGGTACCGCCAATGTGGATCAACTATTGTATGTTTTTTTTCTCTGAATTATCACTATATGCGACAATATGATCACTCATAAGAATCGTTCGTAAAGGAGCTCGTCCAGAGATGCCTGTCAGATTTTCTACTGGATAATCCTACTCTAGTTTACGATGTCACTATTTTACCGGAGCGACTTTTTCGTTGCCGTTGACTTGCACAAACAAAATCACGATCAGCGCCATGTTAAGCGGACGCCAATTCGGCAGCTCGTCACTGCCGTTAGGAGTCGCTTCAGTCGAGAGATCAGAGTAGTGACCTGACGCACATTTCCTCAAATGCTGTTCAGATTTGATTTTGGTTTCAGGCAATTTTTACGCATATGGAGTAAAACTGACTTGGCAAACGCTGGACTTAGACGCCAGATCTTGAATCAACATGTAGAACATTTGATACGACTTGACGCACCTACTTGAACTATAAGGGAAGATATAGTCCGGATAGGTTCTCGCAGCATGCTTCTGCCGCTCAGTGCACACATATCTACACTATATAAGCGCTTGGGGATGCTGGAATAATGTTTGTATTATTTACATCTTTGTTTAGGTTTATCCGGCAGTTCAAGACACCGAAAATTAAGCGGATCAAAGCGACGCTGCTACGTTTCGTGATAGACCGAAGTTTCAAATATATGCGTTTCAAACTATGGCCTGGATGACGTCATCAGATGTAATAGAGAATATATTCACTGACCAAAAACATTACGCGAAGTGAGCTGATGGATTCTGGCAAAACCCACATGGAAATATATCCATCTGAAGGAGAATGGATAATCTCGCCAATGACAGCTAAGGGGAATAGGGATTAGCAATTTGAGAAAATAGGACAAATGGGTGCCGTCGTTCTTATAAATTTTATTTATCGTTGTACCTATGGTATAGTCATGGTTGATGCCTAGACCGGCGTTTGACATTATACAGTAACTATAATCATAAGAGCAAATTAGAAAAGTGTGTTTACTACACCCACATGCTATAATGCCACGAAGCGATCAAATGATGGCCGCAAAAAAAAACTAAGACGGCAATTGGTTAAGAAGAATCTACAACAAATGTACTTGTACAAATGTGTTTGTACATTTTTTTTTTGTGTTTTTTCCTAACGATAATCACCCATCAAGAACTACGTGAAATCTTTTTATGGAGCTGGCAATGAAATTGTTGAGAAGGAACCTCTATTTGATGGTCGATCTAACGGCTAAACTCGATAAATCAGATATCGAAATTCATTGGTTTTTGTGCCACTTCGGGTTCAATTAGCTATGTCTTGTACTGCGTACACTTGCGTGCATGTCGTTCGTCTGCATGCATGAGTGAATGGGTTACTGATATGGTAACAATTCGTGTGACGATATATTGTTGTAATACGTTTTAAATCCGATGTCACTCCCCTCCTTATTATTAAGGGTATACGTTTTTGATTGATTGATTACTTATATTCGTCTGTACTGCGCGCGCATGATAGATGTCGGACATGCAGTAACTCCATTGCCCCGAGGACCGGTTAAATTGATGAGAACTAGTCACTCTTCATGGATATGTAAAGTAAACATGTCTATATCTTCAAACCCGGATTGTTTTCTACCTCTTTAGTCGTCAGTCGCATTTTAGCGGGATCATTTATTTAGGCTATTCAGTAACCTCTACCTAACCGGTCAAAAGTGTGTGCTTTTACCGCAGAAATCGGTAGAATTTAACTATGTGTCAACGACTCAGAGCTATTTATGTATGATGACATCCACTCATTTTGTAAATAATTAAACAATCAGTCGATTTAGACATTACAAATATGTGCTTATTGAAATATGTAGGAGAATATTGGTTTCGACACATTATTCTGGTTCCTTAAGCATCGTTCACGCTAACATATTTTGTGAGATTTAGTAATGGCACCATGCACGGGGGCGCCGACCAAGTGCGTTGCCCCGAATTGTTTACCGTTATCATACTAGCGTTACGCTGGGTTAGCTACGGCTAATAGTACAAAATTAAATGTCCTAAACAAAGCGCAAAGTACATATAGTTTGCGTCTTACACACGTGTAAGACCACGAAGAGATCTCCACGAAGAGATGGATCCAGTAATCCGCCTCTGAGCAGAGAAGGGAGTCCTGAAGGGGCAAACAACATTTATAGCTATGGAACAACACGTTAAGAGATATTCCACAAGACCTTCATATTCATTGATCCCTTATAGTAAGGCAACGATTTTTTTTAATACTATATCTTGATTAAGGCCTTGCGATAACAAAAACGTAATATGTCTATTATTTGGTTAAGTTTCATCATAAGTTAACAAAGGCGCTATTGCATTTCATGTGCAAGCTCGGATTGATCACAGCATCCTAAAAGCGTTCCCATAAGCTTCCTATACAAAACTGTCTATAAAATATATTAAATGATGAGAATAACTATAACGCGATGATGGTCGACCTAATTTCCGTCTTTTTCTCTCTATATTTCTACGTTGTTACAGCCAGCGGCCTGTAAGCCAATCAACGCAGTTCCGGTGAGGGAACTCCAGGAGCTCAAGGAAATCAAAGCGTCGGCGACTACTGAGCAACGGGCTTTCCTGGAAAATGATAATGATGCCAACAACGAAGGTGGAATCGTAGCCGGCGAATTCAAGGCCCAGATCGTGTGGCAAAACGTTTTCGTCTTTGTCCTACTTCATGGAGCCATGCTATACGGCATCTACGTTGCCCTTGTTCATGCGATGTGGAGAACCTGGTTTTTCGGTAGGCATTTTTAAAGTACTATATTATGTAATAATTAAAGGTACCAACAAGTGTACATAAAAAGTCTGTACATATGTATATCTATATTTAAAGTTGACAAGAAAAGCTTATGGTAGTTTTACTTAAAGTTAAAAACTGGTATTTTTAGAGACTAATTTAACGTAGTTGCAGCGCCTTCACAAATGCTTGCTGCCTAAATAGTTTTTGTCCTTTGAATTTTTTAGAATTTGAGCTTCTGTACAAAAAGATAACAAACAAATGTAAGTTCAGGACGCGGCAGTTTGACCCATTTATGTTCATTCGCTTACTTGTCCTGTACTGTCTACTCCTGTTCGCGTTTTCAATTATGCATTTGCAGCCCGTCATAGGTAATACTTGATCTGGGGTAACTGTCCCCTCACACGGAAAGCGTGTCATCATTAGAATTAAGTATGGCTGCAATAAATTATCTATTGCCCACTCAACACTTCGTGAAACCGCTTCGAACTAAGCTTGCCACTGTTGCTGATGTGAAGCACGCGGAAATATACAGTTGAACTAGATAGGCTAGTTTTCAACTTGTTTACCGTTAATGTATTCGTCTAGCTAGTAAGTTGAAAAGCAGAGCGTTGAAGGCAGAGCTCACTGAGCGTTCGTTCGTCAGGCAACAGCGCTTCCATTATTTATCTCCTTTCCAAAGTAGAATCCATATGTCTATTGCTGTTTTACAATTTCACAATGTGTTATTATTTGTATGAATAACTTGAGGATAGCTAGCGGTATAGTCTACTTTTATGATCGGCAGAAACAGATATGTGGTTTTATCTAGCCCAAATTAGAAGGACTGCGTGCGTTCTTCTTTTTCTTTGTCTTTTTCGAAGAGATATTGAAAAACAAATCTTCTCACGAAAGTTTATTGATGCACAGAGACGTTTCGTCGGTAGACGTTTAGGCGCTTGAAACGCACACTGGACCTTGCGTTAGCTATATTGAAAAGAATACGTTTGGCGTCTAGGGCAGCAATGACAGTGATCTTTTTACTATTTATAAGTGTCGCAACGAATATAGCCATGCTTAATACAGCTCCCAGGAATGATATGCGCTCCGTCACTTTCTGCAACTACAATCAAGCATTCGTATGCAGCGACGTCATAAATAGGAAACTTGACAAGGATTACGGCCTACTTCCGTCAAAAATATTCTATGACATTTAAACAACCAGCGCCATTGGCCCGCTGGGGAAATATTCTCACTAAATCACTTAATTATAAGGATGACGCCAACTGGCAAGTAGAAAATAGTTTACTTTGCTTATACGCCACTGCTTAATGTCTGCTTTTTATACAAGGTTTTCTTGTTTGTCGATACAATTTTTAGTAGCTCGACGGCGGTCCGACGTTATTACGTCGGCATGAGCTACTGGGGCTAGATAAGTGCCGGCACTCTACGGCGCACCACCACCATCAACGCATTTGCATTTCTGCTCAACAAAGTGACGCAGGCCCAAATTCACCGAAAGGTGACTATAATACGTGCTAGCATATAGTAATCATGACAGAAAACGATGACGGTGACAATTAATGAAAGTGAAAGCTGTTGGGTCAGGGCTTGGCGGAGTGAAAATCCCATCAACCACTGACCCAACAATAATGGGCTGGCAATGCTGTTAGCGGGTGTTTGCAGAAAGTCGCTTCTGTACAAGCGTAAAACAGCCTAACAGCCGTAACGAGAAGAAGTTGCGTACGTGTCTTTTTACATAACAATCCAAGAGCGGGCCCATTGTGAAAGTAATTAGTTGGAAATTAGACTTTGTCGTGCATAGTACTTGACGCCGCCTTGGGCACATCGAGCTATGTTAGCAGCAATTAAGGGTAGACGATTCCGTCGAAACACCTTAGACCATACGTGTCAAAGAAGATGTTAAGAGGTATAGCGACAGGCGTAATATGGCAAAAGTTTGCGTAGATTGCATACGATATTCGAGTTATATAGGCTTCGGTAGTCTATGGCAGACGAATTTTTCGAGTAAAATAGAGATGTTTGCGCTAGCACTAGAGACTTGAGGTTGATTTTGTTCGGAAAGTATTTTCGGAGCTGTGTACACTTTCCTCGCTAGCTCTTAGAAAGCCATGTTTCCTGAAGACCGACGGTGATTTAGCGAAGAATGACCGAAGATGCGTCTACAAGGCAAGCTGGTTCAAAGGACTTCACGACTGCTACAATCTATCACTCGTGGAAATCATAATGCGAATGGGGCCGACTTTTACCGTTCGGTAAAACTAAACGAAGCAAAAGCCCTTGATCATTAGCATCGTACTGTGACATCTAGGAGGCTAGATTACCTGGCACGTGTTGCTGACAGCGGAATGTCTTGTCTGTAGGAGTGTGGCTAGCGAAAATTGTTATCGTGAACCGTTACCAAAGGAACCTAACCAAGCCTGTATAATTGAAGTATTACGCATTTCTCTACGATGTGTATCACATTGTAATTTATTAATTGTAGATTGATACGTCCGTTTTTCTTACTACTTTTATCGAGGAAGCGACGCGAAGGTCGGCCCCTTAAGGCCCTCGTGTCACCGTAAACAGACATCTACTCAACTGCTTCATGTTCTCTAATCAACAATGTTCCCGAATAGCTGTGTTCAGGGTCACCAGATAACGAACGGTTGAGACGAAGTACACAAGCAGATGCCGTTCGTCTAGTCTTCAAGTTACTTTCGTTTTGCTAGAATGACCTATTTATAGGACCTCTTTTCAAGAACGAGCGCGCAAAATGAGACTACTATTTAAATTCACGTAAAAGATTACACATTGCAACTTACGATAAATTTGTCAGGATCCTGCTAGTCGCCTATCAAAGAAACACTAGGCAATAGTCAAATAAATGTTGTTCATCGAACTTTCTGAGATCTGGCGCGAGACTTCGGTGTGGTCTCCGCATGTGTGAAAATTAAATCTGGATACTCTCATTGGGCGTTCGATTCCACCAAATGTTTACCAGAAAATCCTTTTCCTTTAAACGCAGCAAATGGCCAGCTTGTAGCTAGTTTAAAGCCACTCACGTCTGTGTTTACTGTTACTAGTTTCGTCGTTGTTGGGGTAATGCGTCCGGCATTTTTGAAAATACGTGTTCTTTTTACTGTTCCACTATGTGATCGTTTGCTTGATCTATCAAGTAATAAGCAGAAAGATTTCGCTAGCCTGTATCGTATTTACATTTTTATGTTGGCAACTTCATCAGAAAGTCAATAGTACATCAAAAATGTCACGAAGTACTGTGAAGCTAAGATGAACAAAATTCAAAGACATATATATGCTGAATGGAGCTGCAAGTAGATCAATGAATATGAGTTGCGCGTTCTCGATGAGCAATGTTTATAGTCATCGTTGAAAATCCTATTCAGTTGCGCGGAAATGATGCTTTGTCGGCAAAAACTTGAAAAGAAAAACATCGATGCTCGACCACGAGCGGGTGCAGTTTCATTGAACAAGCTAATAGAGTTTCCGTATTAATACCCAAATGATGGTGCGCTTTTCTCCCGTGATCCACTTTCATTGGTACTTTATTTTGATGTCTTGAAGTGCCGCGCCGTCTATATTCTCCAACATCACTTTTGAGGTTGCAGATGACATGCGTCTGTCCCTACAATCCCAGAAGAGAGGTCAGAGAGCAAGACAGAGCTTAATAGGAGGGTTGCTGCAAGTAGGGTGACGGATCATTGTTGGAAAACGAAAAAACATGAAGCTATGTTGGGTTCTAGAGCTTGAGATATCGGCGCAGAGAAGATTGGCTAGGAAGCAATTACTCCATCAAGAGACAATGGGCATAATGGTATATTTTTTTGTTCCGATCAGTGCGATAACATTCAGGTGCACGACGACAACATATAGAGCCGAATAATATCTCTGATTCAAGCTCTGCTATTAGATCGCAGTACGCGGTAATAAATATGATTCCGAAGCTATATTGGATTTCTGTCCGAAGTGATTTTCTCATAAACGTATAGGCCATGGGATTCTAGTTGTACCTGCACGATTTTCCTTCTTTCGAACGAAACACTGACTCCGTACGGCCGGACGTACATTGCTCTCAAACGTTACGTTGACACGATACTAACTGACATCGAGATCCCGTAGCTGCATCTTCTTCCGCGGCTGTTACAGTTTTCGACCGTTTTGTTTGGATAACCCATATAAAACGGCTAACTAACTGTATTGCCCACGCTTAACGTTTGACGAGTAAATGACTTCATTTGCGCATGGACGCACCTTTGAATGACGCTTCAACCGTTATTAGTTCACGTTTGCGGCTGCTTACAATTAATTACCTATAACCTGTGACGGTATCCATAATTAGTATACGATCGCTGCTAGAACAACGAACTGGAAATACCCTAACGCAAAAGTATAGGCCGCCGCTCCGAACACTGACGCCAGAAAAGTGGCTGGTCGACCGGAAGCGGAGTAGTCGTTGTCCTGCTTCCGAACAGCAGCATAAGCTGCGACCCGCAGAAGCCGCTGAAAGAAAAACAGAAGCGAGATGACGTCCTGCAGCAACAAAAAACATTCGACCACTGCTGTCCCCAACTCATTGATTCATCGGTTGCCGGTCCATTGATCAACATAATAATATGTGTCTCTGTGCGTCTGCTTAAATCGGGGCTAGGCGTCGGTACTCTTCGCGTGGTTGTTATTACTGTTGTCGGTGATACTGCGGGCTAGTCAGTTGGGCAGATATGGGAATAGTAGCCCCTGCGGCTACTACTAATGCCATTACCGCCGACTGTTACCTTTGCCTCTATGACCGTTACGAATCACCAGCAGCGCCAGTACTGCGATGATGGCATTTTCAGATTGTGGCAGCACCACGATGACTAATCAACCTTTCAGACTGCGCCTGCTGTCCGAGCGAGCCGCTGTGGCAACTACTGCTGCTGCTGCTGCTGCCGCCGCCTTGTGGTTCGGTCCCACTGAAGTTCGCGGAGAAGCTGCTTCGCGATGACCGAATTTCGCTCCCGCGATGCTCGGTTAGCGCGGGCAACAGCCGCCTTCGAAGGTGAAGGCCCGCCGCCAACTCGGCTTCGGAAGCAGAAAGAAGACATTAGTTGGCGTTCGCCGCCGATGAAGCAGCAGCAGCTGATTATGGTGCAGACCCTGCGGTGATCGTACTGTTGTTGTTGCTGGAGCACAGCGTTTTGAGTCGACAGCGCAAACGTGCGTCTTGCTTGCAGCAGCTGTTAACTGTTCCTGCCACCTCAGCTACAGTAGCCTACGTAAGTTCGCTACGAGCAACGGTAACAACAGCAGAAGGCTCAGGCATCCAGGATCTTTGGCTGTTATCGGCTGACAGAGTCGGCAGTGGTACTACTTCATCGGGCCTTCGTTCTGCCATACTGGCACGGCGAGCAAAAGAACGAAGGATGAAGGAAACGATGGAGAACGGCAAACGATTGGGCTAGCGAAACCTCAGCATATGTTGCCGAATGGCCGAGAAAGATTGTTTATACGATGTGGGTCATATAGTAACACCAGGCCCATCGGGCTAAGGCGGATGTATTGCAACAGTTAACCGACAACAGCAAGATAAATCATGATGTAGTAAATATATCGTAACGCGGCAGCAAAACAGCAAACGCGACAGATGAAATTTCCGTCGAGAGGTCCTATAGGTACACTATAAAATGGACAACTCTATCACCATAGAACACATTCGAGCCAGGACGATCCAAATTATTGTGAAAATACATATATAGATTGTTATTTGTCCATCCATTATGTTGTTTAGTTTCCAGTGAGGCAATCTGGCTCAATAAAACATTTGCTACAGCCAAGCCAGTGGAACAGAAGGGTAATACGGAACGTAATTATCGATAAAAATGTGGTCGAAAAGTGGTCAGATGATAATGCTGCCATGTTGGCAACAATCGTTAAGCAGATGCCCGTTCCTGGGTCATTTCCTATGAGTAGAGCTACGATGACGTACGCGGATTATAAACGGAAAGTAAGGCTCTCAACAGTTTTGTCCTTGAACTTGTACTGTAGCATGTCATTTTCTGTATATGCCCACATCCAGAAATTGCTATAACATTTTATCTGTCCGGCTATTGCTTGTAACGTCGAGCGGTGCAGCGGCGCTCCGTTCATGCGCAATCGCAACACAGTCAGTTGTAGTAAAGCGCATAGTGTGCCGTCACAGCCGTCCTGCGATTGTGCACGTCCTTACGATGGAAAGGGCATCTCATCTTGATTCGTCGTCGCATATCGGGGTCGTCTAGTGAAGGTGTTCACAGACCCATTGTATTCGCTGCATCCGTGTTAAATCCGCGTATTTCATCTCTGCACAGCAGTCATGGCGTGAGTTTTAGAGTAGATATATACCGACTGTTGCGAGCCAACCCAGTTTCAACACCAAGCACTTATACCAAGAGAGTCTCAAGCCAGCCGTGAGTGGGCACTTGGCGCGCGTATGACACCGCAGATCCTTCCATATTTTCATCGAATTCTTCTTGACAACTTACCTCTCTGTCGGACATGAAACGCAAGCACCTCGCAGCTATGTGTACTTCGCTAAATGACTCTGATCGCGGAAAACAAAATCGAAAGGTGCAGCGAACGCCATCCGCGGCGTCGATGTTTGCCGAAATGGCTGTGTTCTACAAGTGGGCTGTGGCCAATTTTTCGGTCCATGTTATCGGCGACGGCGGCATGACGGCCGCGAGTCCTCGCTCTTCCGTTCAGTCAACGGAAGCGGAAGAGCCAACTAACTTATCAATAAATCGGCTATTTCGGTGTAGGAAAGGTGTCCAACAGCGCTGACGTTGCTGACAGAAACGGCGGCGATAACCATGACGTTAAGCGCAATCAGAATGTTTTTTTGGGCACCATAGAAATGACAGAACCAGGTCAAAACAAGAAGTCAGTACTATACAGCATGCCGTGTATGGTACAGCGGAGCCCTAAGGAAAAGGCGGAAGTACCTTACGGTATTGTTATGACTTTTCGTCTGCAAAGTAGGCGTACTGTGTGAGCTCAGCCGGACAGATGAAAGGTCGCAAATTATGGCTAGGCCGTGAATACTAACAACAAGAGCGGTGTACGCAATCAAAATCAAGATTGAAACGCATCTTTCGGCTTAAGACACAGATCCTAAGTAAATGCATTTTACATACATTAATGCATAGTTTTGGAAACATAAAATATCTTGATGAATAAGTGCGGGAAGTGTGCCTACACAACAAAACATAATGTTAGAGAACATACAAAGAACAGCTATGGACAATCGCCACTTTCTCAGACGATTAGCACATCAGCATAGCTATCAGCGCCCGCTAGTGGAAAGCTAAGATTTTTCATCAGAACTTTTCCCATAGAAAGAGTTACAACATTTAGTTGTTACCTAAATGGGCTAAACTATAATTATGATACGCACCTCCTTATTTCAGCCTTCCTGATTGGTCAGCTTGCCGGCCTCGGAGTTACTGCCGGCGCTCATCGACTATGGTCCCATCGAGCCTACAAAGCACGTCTTCCACTTCGTATCGTGTTGATGCTCTTCAACTGTCTTGCATGCCAGGTGATATTATGGCCTTATATTTTTCCTACATGATACATACGAAATAACACGTGAGGTGCCTCTATCATCTATTTATTGCGGTCCCTTACAGGGCGTTATCTACAATTGCTTTGCGTTTTCACAAATTAGATTAGGTTTTTTTGTGCGACTCGAGTAATACAAAAAATCTTGATTGAGTATTTTATCCAGGAGCATCCTGGTTTACATTTAGACCCGTAAAAGTGTTTGCGTTAATTGAGCGTGTGCCTGATTTTCTTTATATACCTTTGTTCGTACGCCGTTTTTCGTTACGGTTCATCTGAAAGTCGGTGTACAAATGCCATTTTCAACTAGTAACATCTATCATCTGCATATCGACAACCGATTAAAATGTTTACCCTGTAGAATGGCAATGTGAATGAATACCGTTAAACTTGGTCATTGAAAATAGCTTGTAAACCTGGAAATGTTTAGGGTGACTGATACGGCAAAAAACACATTCATACATAAAGTGGATGAGATTAAGGGCAACGCTAGACATAGGCATCATTTACTGAAAGGTTCTCGTAAAGGCACGCGTTACTGAGACACGATATTGTCAAACGAAACTGGCAGCATCTTTCAGTTCAATATCTGTGAGCTATTCAAGATGGCAGCATAAACAAACAGTGTAGATGGCTGAATGCTGCTATCTGGTGTCGAGGTGTCGCCAAAAAGATCCATTCATGGAAAGAATCAAATGGGGCGGGTAATGCCAGTCGCGGTTTCATTGCGGATATTTTTGTTCGTCTGTAAGGGACTGGTCGTTGGTGCGGTTTATTTGTTGTACGTAGCGCCAGTCTCTAAAATTTCTTTTCCCTTTCAACTAACTAAGTTGTTGCTTGCTGAATCGCTTTCTTCCGTATGTGGGTCCTATCACTGACCCTGCGTTCCAATTCAGAGACTAGCTTCTTACCGTAACAGTCATACCGTTATCAAACATGGTCAAGCTCGTAGTCCGGCGTTCTTGGATCTGTGGGCTTATCGCGTGAAGTCTTCTCTTCATCAGCACCTAGTCAGCCCATTTACAGAAACAGCCGGTAGACGGCTGGACGAACGTGTGTGTCGCATGTGGAAACGGCTGATGAATCTTGTTGACCTTTATTGGTTTGCTTTTCAAGCAACATAATTCAGTCTACTGCTGCTTCTACTAAGCTCACTCCGCTTCGCTTCTCTAAATTTTAGAATGACCTCTACGAATGGACTCGTGATCATCGCGTCCACCATAAATACTCGGAAACAGACGCGGACCCTCATAACGTAAACCGAGGCTTCTTCTTCGCTCACGTTGGCTGGCTGATGTGCAAGAAACATCCAGAAGTGTTTCGTAAAGGAAAGGCCGTCGACTGCTCGGACCTTCTCCAAGATCCAGTGATCCGCTTCCAGCGCAGGTGGTATGTCCCCTTGACTACGTTTATGTGCTTCTACATGCCGACTGTTGTACCGTACTACCTATTCGGTGAAACGTACTGGAACGCTTTCTTTGTCTCCACGATGACCCGCTACGTGTTTTCGCTCAACTTTACTTGGCTCGTTAACAGTGCAGCTCACCTCTGGGGAAATAAGCCTTACGATCGTCATATCTCACCTGCGGAAAATGCCTTTGTTTCGCTGGTCGCCATAGGAGAAGGTATGAATCAAGGGTTTCGTAATCTAAGCAGTCAATTCATTGTGTGTATTTAGTGATGTTTCTTTATTCGTTTACGACTAATGACTTATATGCCTGCATGCGAATTTCAGCCGATTTACCAGATTGACACAGCTGTTAGCAAACAGCCTATTTTGAGCTTGTCTTCTTTTTTTTTTTTTTTTTTTTGCCTAGGTTTTCACAATTATCACCATACGTTCCCGTGGGACTATCGTACGTCGGAACTCGGTTGGAAGATCAACTTAACGTCGATGTTCATTGAGGCAATGGCATACATCGGTCAAGCATACGACTTGAAGACAGTTCCGCCCGCTGTCGTTGAGAAACGCAAGCTTCGCACTGGCGACGGTACTAAGGACTGTTTTGACGATGCAGCAAATCGATCCCGCACTAAGGACTCGGAACCCCATCGCCATCATTACCACCACCATCATCATCACCCCGAGGAAGTCCCGTACGAGGAGATGTTTGGCCATCAAAATTGAGTGATTGTACATTCTAGCTGTATATTAATTCATTCTCAGGTTAGGTAACGGCGGCCCTATGAGGAACTCAAGGTAGTGCGACGCACCGGGTCCCTTCTGCATGGGGGAATACTGTTAACCTCGAGCCGCCGACCTTCAAACTATTAATACTACTTTGCCGCAGGAGTATAGGACGCGCAACGTAGAAGACAAAGAAACGACAACGTAACCCATCCCATCCGTTGAGAAGTTGAAGATGACAACGATGAGTGATTATACGCCTCATTGATAGCAACGAGTCACGTGAAATATTCATGTGTCATCTACCGCTGAGTCTACGTGCCTCATCTCTATTTTACTCTTCAATAGGCCGCACAAGACACACATACATGTGTTCAATAGATGACTGAATTGAAAGTTTAGTGAGACTTGCGGAAATTACTGCTCGCAGAAGGCGTCTAATAAGAATAAACGAAAAGGCGTCTATCAACAAGGACACAGAGAATAAATATCATCTTGTATCTTGTTCATAATATAATTAAGTAAACAAATAAGAAAATAGTAATAATCATCGTAAATCTACAATAGGAGATGGCATAACATAATCAAGCAATCGCCGCCCACGAAAAACCTGGAGAGTCAGAGTGATATAATTTGTGATGCTATCTATCTTGTTGGTTAACAAGTGATCTTTATCAATTTTTCAGTTATCATATTCAATAAGAGATTACATAACGACTGAATAATCAGCTTACTGAGTAATGTAAAATGACTGAAAATAATCGTACAGCACGGGGAACAGAAGCACGGCGAGATAATAACAACGACCCAAAGTTAAGATGTTGACAAATACGAAGCCAGCTAAGAAAGCACTAATAAGTGAACCTCCTCGAGCGACGCTCTAATAGTTCAAGACCCCACATGCATGGATAAGTGCATAAAAAGGTCGGGCTTCCTATACTGAAATCTTTGTTTTTTCAACTGCTTCATTAGATTCCATCGAGTGACTAATGAAACGCTGCTGCTACTAGTAGTGAAGAGTTGAATTTATTAAATATTTTACGTTGTTATTGTACATAGTAATAATAAAGGAATAATGTGGCGCGTGCCCTAAAAAGGTGACACTGGAAGGATAAGAAAAGGCCTAATAGCATATTATTATAGATCTGTTCTTCGCGTAAGGGCTAGCAGATGTGAAATATTGTTGGAACAAGCAATAGAACGATGCCGTATGGGCTCGGGCCTAACAGCTGGACTTCTTTAGAATGTATTCATCGCAATTTTCGATTCTGTCCAGACACTCAGCTATAAAAAAAAAGCCGGTACAATTAATTAAACAGACAAGCAAAACGTCTACTGAGTAATGAAGAAAAAAGCAATAACAATTGAGGCACCTAACAGAAATATATCTCCCATATTCCATCGATAATACACAAGTTAATAAACGTTTAATTTTAGCCTTTAGTTCAATTAGTAACTTATTCGTAGTTAATTAATAATAGGTTTGATCAGCAAACCAGTCGAGAGAGCGCGAAACGGGCCGGCATTGTACTCTTCTTTCTACGATAAAAAGAAGGTACCTACGAACCTGCAGCTTTCTTTTAGTTAGTGGTTGACTCTGTGTGACACGTTATTGCAATGTTAGCTCAATCCTACAAATCCTCAATCTTAAAGAGAAGAGCTAGGATTTCAAACTGAAGGTGCATTAATAAAAGTATAAGTAAATGAAACAGAGGAACCCATGGCAAGGGCTATTCAGAACTAACTTTTGACAGAAGAGCAACGATAACGGAATGAATGGGTGGGAACTTTAAATAGCAACACCAAGAAAGACCTGACTAGATACCCAAACGACCGCTTAGACATCAATAAATAATTTATTCACTCATTGTGCCCGCTTATTTATTTTAATTAAGTCAGAAATATATTTATCAACACAAAAATAAACAGGAAATTAATAAAATCTGTACTAATATCACTATGGACGCTTTTTTAATTTATTTCCATTATTTCAGTGTGTGTTTCGGGCGTGTTATTCAGTTCTCTAAAATACGTTCCAACATGTTTTTGAAAATATCGTGTACAATAGCATTACGGAACAATTGTTTTAAGGCCTTGCCTTGGCGTTTTAATTTTACTCATATTTTTATCGCAGAATTAACCATAAAATCCACAAGTGTTAAATATTTGGAGAAAATCTGACGACAAAACTGCCGCCTTTCCGATTATTTTCTTGGTAAAATATCGCAGTGTCTACCAACGGGGCGTCGCGAAACAACTTTCTCCATTCGAAACTTGCATGTGTTTATAACTAGGTTACCTATTACAGTAACTTCCTCAGCCGTTACGGTTCGCACTTAATTGGTAACTATCTATATGCCGCGTTTAGATATAGCTTAGCTAGTCGCTAATCGCTCCGACGGATCAATTACTTCAATTGCCTGAAACAGATTCGTAGTAATTTATGACGTTTAACTCCAATTAAACATAAATTAACCGTTCTGAACTGTTGAGACAAATTAACTAGAAAAAAAAAAGCGAATTTATCAGGCCCAGAAAATAATAACTTATTGTTAGTAGTTCGGAAGCCATAAGCTAAACAATGTTCTGCTGTCTATGAGTCACTTAAGTTCACCTAATATCTGATTCCTCTCGAATTGGTGTTTTGATTAGTTTGCAACGATCAAACTGGGTGGCTATCAGGTGAGAAGTCATATTTAAGGGCGTAGGCACCTTAATCTGCCCTTACTATATTTAGGCATGACCGCCTATAGATTCAGATTGCACACTTGTCATTTTTTTATTCAGGTAAAGTACATGACCTATAAGTGTGACCTGAAGGCTTCGCATATCAGCGCATCCTGAAAACCGTACAAGTTTCCTTTGCGCTTACCTCATCATTTACTCGTTACCTCATTTACTTTGAAATGCTAGGTGGAGCAACCCAAATTGGAAACTAACACGTATTTAAGCCAACTATAAGGTGACTATTTTTGTCTAATGCACACACAGATTAACAGCAAATCGACCGAAATTGACGAAAAAGCACAACTCAGTGTTTAACGAGGCATTATAATATAGGGTGGTATTTATTAAGCCACCTATCGGCTGATGAACCGCTATCAATTCTGATGGCAAAAGGGGTAAAAAAAGGATGGAAAAAAATTGCTCCGTTCCATTTGCCGCTGTTAAGCCAAACATACGATATATTTGAACAATGTCTATGTTACTTGTCAGACTATAAATGTTGTTATTTTTCTATGTGAAATTCGAAGGTAATCCTCTAACTTTCATACGTTTTCAAGTTACTCTAAGAATAATATATCACCTAATAAACATATCACACTAAAAATTAGTATGTTCTTGTACGAAATGCACCTTGTATACAGATATGAAAAAATATACTTAATGATTTAACAAGATATCATATTAGGTACAACTTATTCCGGAATATATTATTACCAACAATATAATTCGCTTAACTTCAGTAGTTTAAGAGAATATATTCTTCGGAAATTTATTCCAGAGTTCCAAAAGCAAATTGTGGCTTACTCGTAAACGTTGTTTATGTTTATGTCGTACAAAGGACATGTTATCGAAACCGTGTAGTTGAAAGTCATTGCCGGGAGTCTTAGCCTCTACAACTAAGAATACCGCAATAGCTCATGGTTACAAATTGTCAGTTTAATCTACCTAAAAAACATGACGAATGCTTGCAGTAAACAGGCTTTTCATGTAGTCGATACGCTTTCGCTACGACCTCCTCTTACTTTTTGATCCATTGATTTATTTCGGCCCATTAAAAATGTCTAGGTCTTTCGTTGGGAGACTCGTTCAGCTAGTTTTTGAGACACTCCCCCCGCCCCTTCTACGTCATATGTGCTGGTATAAATTTTAATCGCCAGCAGTCGGAAAAGATAGTAGTCTTTTAACCTGAGGCCTGCAGAACATATTGGATGCTAAAGAAGTCCCTAATCAGGCTCTTGCAAGGCGACCTTTGCCCCATGTTGCCTGCTACTGTTGTAGAAAACGCTAACTTCACGTTATCTATCGAGTTTTCTTTGTTGAATTCCTTCACTCACTTGATACAACCGAGCCACATACAGATCTTTGTTGGCCATTTTCTCCTTTGAAGCGTTCGCCAGTGTGCAAGGCCCTCCTAGTCTCACCAAATTATATAAATAGTGTTTTCAGGATAGACGTTTGGTCTAGTTTAGGGTTTAAAAGTAGCTCGTCCGGGACTGCCGAATTTAACCTCTGCCTTATATCAACGTAAAGACGGCATTCTTGTCACCCGTAACAATTTTGCGTTGTAATTTGTTATTGCAATTGAGTGCGGTGCGATGCCGAGCAACATGTTAATGAGAAGCCATGTTTTTTATGCGCTTCACCCAGCCTATAAAGCGTTCCTAAGTTGTGAATGCATGCCTTCAGGATGTCTGATGAGATTCGAATGTTTGCAGCTTGTGTTTTTGGCTCATTTACGAGCTGTGAACTATCCTCTTCAACTTCAGATGGTTGCTCGGGGGTGTGGTACATCTATCAAGTCCAAGATTGTGCCTTTGATCTTACTAAACCCTTCCAAACAGTATCCTTAATTATAAAACCCTCGCTGTAATATGCCAGGCTGCTTCGGCAGTGCTCTCACTTCGAAATTGAATAGCTATTAGAAACACATTCTTCTTAGTTAAATTAATCCTGTCTGAGAAAGTAAAAAAGGTCTGAGTTTCAGGTAAAATCCCGTAGTAACCATTCAAAGGGCTTGTACCTCTGACACACGTAAACAGAGGAGAAGCAAACTAATACTGAAAAAAAGACCATTATTGATATACTATGCAGGGTATGTATTTAGAGCACTTAATAAATCTAGAAAGACAGACAACGAATTTCAGCAAAAGCTCTATAAGAGAATATATCAAATGTTGAGAATATATATGGTTTGTAATTTTTTGGTAGAATTATTCCATTATTATTCTAGCCATGATATTATATGATACGTAGACAACAATGTCGTTCGTCCAGCTGTTAAATATAGTTTAGCGTATAATTTTCTTTATTAAAGCTTATCATTATTATTTAGAAGAAATTAGTTCTTTGGCAGTCATTTTACTTAAGTCTGGCCTAAACTGCACTATCAAGAGATTAAATATAAATCCAAAAATGTGTAAAAAATATCCAAACCGTTACACTCCATCCGAAATATATTCAGGATTGCCGAAATCGACCGCCCTCTTCACAGACAATAAACTAGAAGAACGGAACGTTGCAGTTCTAGAAATGATATCCTATGAGGTGCATCTATGCGCTGAAGGGTTTTTAAGTATCTTGGGCTAGCCTCTTGTCATATTGAATGGCTATTTCTACTACTTATGTAGTTGCCCACTATCATACATTGGGCGCTGCTGCTTCCCAATTGGTACCGTGCGGCGTTTATACGGCCAGAATGAGCCCTAACAGCAGCGGTAGGATAGTCACAAAGTTAATGTCAATATATCAAGATACTATTATTCGAGTGCCAATAGGCGGCAGTGCCGACGTTGGCCAGAGCTAAGTCATTATTCGTATCTGACGCTGCTGCTACAGCCGTCAGCGTCGTTCATTTAAAGACCTAGTTTCAGCTATTGACGTCATCCGACCTGGAGACGTCCAGCACAAAAGCGTGCAGCCACTCACTGGTCTACAGTTCAGCTCACTCAACAATTGGGTCTTGGTCCAGTATATCTGTATACAATGAAACTTTTTTATGCGGCTCGTAAATTCTGAGACGACAGCTCCGAGAGCGTGAAGCTGCGACGCCAGCGGCAGCGGCAGCGCCAACATGTACGGCGGCATAGAGAATATAGCAAAACCTGTGACCTATCGCATTGTTTTTCATGTTTCTTCGAGATGATACCAGGATCGAAGGTCACTGTGGCGCTTAGGTTAAGTGTTATTTTTATAACAATAACATGCACAGTGTTAGTTACGTAGGGGGGTTCAATGTCTACGTTGCCCCCACGTGTTCTGGCTCTCGCTGAGCCAAAAATCTGGCCCTCAAAGTCTACCTCCGGCCTGGCCTTCAAGGCAAATGTAGTCGTAGACTAGGCTCATATAAAGACATTATGTATCCAAGCCATAGGCTGGGGCAAATTATCAGAGACCTAACACGGATAATAATCTAGGCAACGCAGGTAACCGGTCCGCTATTAGATACAAAGACGGTTTTCGTCGATCTTTTTTCAAGCTGAGCTTCATCGAGGTTGGCAGGCATGAATAGTCTGCAGGCTACTCAAAATCGCCAAAAATGGAAACGTGTACCAAAACTTGAATGCACATGTTTCTAAATCGTCACCTGGAAGCCTTCCTAATCTTTCCGTTTAGCTAAGATCAATAGATAAGCCGGTATGTCGATTCAGTTGCAGTACTCTCAAGCTAGATAATTACGCGGCCTCCAATCTATGATATTGTCCAACATAGCAAAA